ACGTCAAAAAATATACATGACATTATAATTTTTTAGATAATGAAGATTACGCTAATTGAGCAAATCTAGAAAATACCCTTCCCCTCTTTTACATATTTTTCGACAAAATCATTTGTTAATTCTGATCTCCAACAATAAAGCAAAAATCTATGTGAGTCAATGACTCTAGTTTCTTTAAATCACCTCTGCAAGCGATAATTTTGGGTGGTTTATACAAGAACAGATAACAAAGTTATCGGCCAGAATTTAACCAGCTCAACCGTGTTGGGTCCACACACCAAGGATAAATGAAACTCCCAGGTTCCTAAGTAAAATTCAGAGCAGTTGATGCATACATAGTAAAGATTGTGTATGCCGGTTATATAAAATCATCCGGTGAAGCTGATCATGATCATCTCATAAGTGTCGGTGTTATTATAAAGTTAGCTATCTTCGCATTAAAAACCAAACTCTGTACATGGGCTGCATCAAAGTATAAGGTGAATGATATAGCTAGTTTGCGCAATCATGTTCTTGACCTTATTGATTTGTAGGCTTCCTCGCCATGTATGATTATCCTAAAGTACTCTAAACGATAGGGGGAAGAAGTACAAGAATCCAACAGTTCACAAAGTTTCACTTTCAACTGGTCATAGTAAAGCGTTTTTTGGATATTTACCTAACTCAACGAATCACTAAATTTGCCAAGATGTGATTGGCCAGCCCCTGTTTCCTTTTTTTTTTTTTTTGTGTTTAAAACTGCATGAAAAATAAGTGAATTCATATAATATTTGTTTATAATTAGAAATTGGAAGAGTATTCATTTTGTGTTAAAACTTAAAAAGAGTGTTTTAAATAAATGAAGGCTGCTTCAGGAGAGTACTTTAAAAGACAAAATTGGAAAAGAAAAACTGTTTGTAGATCCATTCATTTTCAGCCCAGTAAACACAAGGCAGACACTAAAAGCAAATGACAGACACGAGTATAGGTTTCAGTCCCATAGCCTACCGCTATCCTGTCGTTGCGTAAAGACGTAAACATTAACATTGAGAGGTTTACATTAATGAATTTTCTACCGATCTTAAGGATCATACAATTCTTCAAAAACCCAAGTGCTGCTAACTGCTAACAAGTACCAACCCATTCAACAAACAAACGCCAAGCCGGACAGGAAGAATACAAAAGTGATTATACTACAATAAAATTATTCTCTTGCCATAATTTAAGGAATATTTACATTCCGAACGTTTCCCTAGACCCAAATCTGATGGAGCTAGAGAACAAAGGAACCCTTAAATCTAGAGGGAGTGTGACTAGGAAAATGGGTATTCTTTATGGGTTTGAGTGAGAGGGTATTAGGGGGGTGCCAGTAATGAGACGTCTGGTCCGTACTGCTAAAATCTTTGTCGGGGGTTCCCTGTCTTATCCTACGCACACCCTTGTAATTCCCCCCTTCATTTTATTCCCATCTTCTTGTCCCCATTTTCCATCCCATGCCAAGGAACAAACCCCTCCTGCTTGTCCTCTTTCTCAGTTCATATTCGCATATATGCATGCACCCATCTCTCTTCCTGTTGCCTATGGAGAGATTGCACTGTAGATGTCTGCGCCATAAAATTTTTTTTTTTTTCCAAGAAATCTTTTACTTACCAATATCTGTCGTTCAACATTCTATGTTCAACTTTCAAATATTTGACTGTAACTATTTATCCAATTCACAGACGAGTAGTTAATCTATTTGATTTACCAGCAAATAGGAATGAACATTGCATTGCAAAATGGAGGATGGGCTTCCCATGCAAAAGCTATTATTGTAGTAGACAACTACACTTATGGTCTTCTTTTCCCAAAAAGAAAAAAGGATATCAAGAAAAATACGTTATACTTGTGGAATGTATTTTAACTATTTTTCTTGGAATTATGAGTCTCGACGGTCCCTGTCAACTGATTTTGAGTGTTACTTCAAAATTACGACAGCTTTGCAATTAGTCATACCTGGGATACTATGTCGGTCAGTTAGAGTTGGTAAAATTAATTAACCTGTGATGAGAGAGAGGTTTGGTTTTGTTTCTTTCTGAAAAAAAGACATAAAGTATTGACGTGATGCTTGTTTTTGTTTGGCATGATGATTTAATAAATTGACTACCAAATCATGAGAATTATGGTCGTATTTATAGTCAATTAACAATGTATAATGAATTGGACATTTTTTTTGAAACTTGGTATGTCGTTTCCTTGCAGTAGTCGAATAATATCCATGAAAGAATGTGTTCTTTTGTTTCATCTCCTTCATGCTTAATCATCGGATTCCTCATAACATGCTTGGAAAAATTCCCCTTGAAATTGATCCATTATTCTTCTTTTTATGATCCCGACATGGCCTCTTATTATATTTAATTGGTAGTACTAGCTAGCTTAAATTTTGTTGAATTAGTCCCAACCTTGTTTCATTCATGATGGTGGCACTCTTTTAATTATAGCCATAGGTTAGCTTAGCCTAAGCCCTAGCAGCCAAAAGGAATAACACAATCTGACTCTTTTAAGTACTAATAAAGAGACAAGACCACAAGAATTACTGATAAGTGATACAGCAATAATTTTTTATTGAGCAAATTATTAGGATGATCACTAAAATTTTGAAATCGTTGAGTTTTAACCATTGAACTATTAAAAGTCTGGTTTTGATCACTGAACTATTTAAAGTTTAAATTTCATATCATTTTGTCAAATTTAATCGTTAACTATGCCTCCTTCTTTTGTCTCGCGAATCATGCGAACACTCAAATTTGTAATGCTTAACTAGGCCAGCTCATGACTCGAGCTGCTCGTGATCAGCTCGAGTCAAAACTCAACTCGAGCTCGTGTTGACCAAGCTCGAGCCGTTCGTTAAGACACACAAGGCGAGCTTGAGCCTTCGTTTTTTAGGCTCAATAGCTCGATGAGCCGCTCGTTGGGCTCGAGTAAATGTAAAATTATAAAAATACCTCTGAATCAATTAAAATTTACAACTTCTCTGCACACTCGAAGTCTAAGCTATAATCGATCTTCGGCCACTGTAGTCTAAGCTATAATCGATCTTTTTCTGATACACTGTAGTCTAAACTTTTCTCCTTCCTTCGATTAGGTTAACTTCTCTGCTCACTCCTTCCTCACTTCCTTCGATCGATCTTCTTCCTCCGCCGACCGACTGTCCCAAGCTCCCAATTTCCACTTTTACCACTGCCATCGCTGCTACTGCTAGCTCCATCTCCACCACTTCCGCCAGCACCACTTCAGCAACCTCTAAGCCGTACAAGAATTTGAGTGCGCAACATACTGACGGACGAGGATCTGGAAAGTGATCCCAACCAGCTTTCCCTTTTTTCTTGTGAGAGGCTGACTGACGGACTTTCCGAACCCAACCAGCTTCCCAACGCATTCTCATCTCCGGGCTTTGTCTAAGCTTTTCCAGCGTCGCAAGTGTGCAACCCGCTGAGCCTATCTCCACCATTCCCTACCGTGTCCAACATCCTCAGATCAGTCCACTAGATTTTCTCCCTAGATTTTGCAGGTATGTACTGAGGTTCTTTTTCTTTTCCTTTTCTTTTTTCTTTGGAATCTGGAAGGTGATCCACTTTGCTCTGCTTTCAAGTAGTAATAACAAGGGGTAAATGAAATTCCATGTCACACCTTTTGATACTGTCTTGATGATAGTTTGCATTTTACCCCATTTATTCTGTAATTTATGTATCAGATGTTACATCCCTGTAATTCTCGAATATAAGAAGTTCTTTAGCTTTCCTCGTACCAACTTCTGGTTTTCCAGGATATGATGCTATCATGAGTAATAGGATTGCAAATGAATCTTTGTCCACAAAACTAAAATTTGTTGGGAACTAAAGAGAACACTTTTTATTTGTTAGGAACTTAAATTGCGCATTTTGATTTTGGAGAACTAAAATTTCACAGTAAGCTTTTGCATTCTGAGAAGCACACTATGCATAAAATATTGCTTAAGGAATGTCAATGAATGTGAAGCAAATAAATCATTTCTATTAAAACAAGCTGCTCCATCATTTCTATTAGAATTGTTGGATGTCCCTTATAAGGCTTTGCTCGCTGAAAGAAATCCTCCCTTTGAGCTTGACAAAAGTAGTAACCCTCAAATAATTCCTGGAAATCCGAAAGGAAAATAAAACACAAGTAGCATCCACAACAAAAGATATACTACGACGACATCATCATCCAACTCTGTTAGAAAATGTAACTGGTTGTACCAAATTTTGTCCATTCCCATGCTACATCACAAATGTCTACCATGAGACTTGCTGTCCTCTTGTTTCTTGAAAATAATTACTGCTACTAACTTGTTTACTAGTAATAGTGATTGGTTTTGGGACTAGAGAATGCTGCTCATATCCTTTTTTTTCTTTTGCATTTTGGCCAAATCGTTTTTCTTATGACTCTTTTAACCTTTAGGGATTTTCTAGAGTTGGAGTTGGTGGAATAATTCTCGCTTCATGTCATGCCTTGATTTTTGTGGACAACAAGCTGGTATTCTTGTGGACATTTGGATAATTTGTATTGGTGGATATTTGTGGACATTTGGATAATTTGTATTAGTGGACATTTGGACGTTTATGATTGTATTAGTGCATAATTTGTAGGCCTCAAGATCAAGAATATGTGAAAAATTGTTGTTATCATGCTCAAATTTTGTCAAAAAATATAGGGACAAAAATGCTGTTTTCTTGCTTAAATTTCCAGAAATTTTCGAGCTGTTTTCGAGTTCGAACTCGAGCTCCTAACAAGCTAGAAATTGAGCTGCCTTCGAGCTTCATGCGAGCCAGAAAATCGAGCGAAACTCAAGCTATTCGCGAGCCAGAATTCGAGCTAAGCTCGCGAGCCATAAACAAGTCGATCTCGAGTTTTCCTTTTCCTACATCGAGCCTCAAGCTCTATTTTTCGAGCTCGCGTATAAATAAGTGTAACTTGACTCGATAAATTCAAAACTCGATTCCACTCAACTCGTTTGCACCCCTATGCGAATATTGGAACTTTTTTGCTCTTCTGTTCTCATCCAATTTAATGGTGTTGCAGGTAAAAGTAATGGGAAAGGGTACTATATATATCAAAAGGGAAGCAAGGCAAAACCTGATCCATCAGTTCTACCAATTATTGACGAATCTAGGAAGCTTGCCAATGTGATGCCTGGAGGAAAGGTATTTCCTCACTATAAAAACCTATATCGTAGTATCTTGAGATATGACAGACATAATTTAGCCTCCTCTTCTGCAGTTAGATCCTGCATTCTTTTTTCACGTTCTGTATAGTTGGCCTTTTTGATTTAACTTTTATGCTGGAAACTACTGGCAGCCTATATCTGTCACTGACCAAGAAGTTGTTGAGATGATTCTCTTTCCCGTGGTAAACGAGTCATGCCGTGTGCTGGATGAAGGAATTGTGATACGAGCATCAGACCTAGACGTTGCATCTGTTCTTGGAATGAGTTTCCCCACTTACCGGTGAGTGATTACATGACAATATTTTAGCTTAAAACCAAATTGTATCTTTAATTGAGGCCAAAACATATGGAGTACCTTGAGATGCTGCAACCCTTTCACTCACAAATTAAAGGAAACCGTTATCAAACAAACCATGCTTCTATGCTTTTATACTCGCTCTCTTCAGTTTGTCATTTTAACTATGTTGAGCTGGATAGATCTGCTGAACATAAAGAATGTTGTTCATTCTCTCTGCAACTTTCCATTATTGAGATCCAGCTGAGCCTGGATCTCTCAGCCATTGGGACTAGTGTGGAAATGATTCTTGCTTCTCACAAACACCCCAACCTCTATCCAGCATTCTCCTGCTGCCATCATCCCTTTCCTCTGGAGTCCCAGTGTTTTCCTCTATAATCATCCATTTTACCTTTATAGACACTGCAGAATGCTGAAGAAGTTCCTGGAACATCTAAAAAATTCTTTTCTATCCTTCTTCGAGCTTGCTGGTAAAGCATAAATGACTTATATAGCCATGTATGCATGTAGCCATAGCCATCATGTACAGAGTTTCCTGGAGTTGCTAGCAGTATGTAGCACAGGAATGGAGCTCCTTTTGGTTGATGCCTTGCATTTCCTGCCATTTATCCATGGCACTTAGTACCCATTACCTCTACCTTTCTAAGAACTTGCCATGTATGTACAGCCTCCCTTGGAGTTCTGATTGTCAGTTCTTTGCTATATTATCCCTGCAAGAGAGGCTACCTTAACACGTTCATGCTCTACCAGCTGCTGTCTCACCCCTTCTCCATTTATAAACAATCCTCAGATACATCGGGGGAACACTTGTCACCCTAGCTTACTCTTAATTGAACCGCTTCACTAGTATCCCTGAAGGTAGATAGTGTGCAGCGTACATTTTTGTTACCTTCAAGCTTTATGCATTGTCTGCAGTATTATCCATTTTTCTCCTTAATATGGTATTCAAATAAATGTGTATATTACTGTTCATTTTTAGAGAAAAATCAGAGTAGACATATTCGAGGACATTAAACTTACTTTCTTTGTCTTCTTCTTCTTCTTCTTTTAAATTTCAGTGGTGGTATTGTATTCTGGGCGGATACAATTGGGGCTGACTACATATATAAAAAGCTCAAAAAATGGTCAGAAGCTTATGGTAACTTCTATAAGCCATCAAGGTTTTTGGAAGAAAGAGCATTGAGAGGAATACCACTGGTAAAAATTCTCGTTCATTTTGGACTTATTGCATTAATTTCATTTGTATGATTTGGTGGTCATATGATCCTGCATTTGACGATTTCACTGCATGGTCAGATGAGTTTTGATGAATAGGATGTATGTATACGTGAAGGAAAACATTTTAGTCATAGTCCTATTATCTCCGTACTATTAACCTGGATCTTAAAATCTCCATACTCCCCTCAAATTGACCACTCCAGCTTTGCTACTCTTTCAAGTCAAAGTTATTACAAAATTCACAGCAAAAATTTTATCCTTTAAGACAGGTCCATGGAGATATCAACGAAATTTACTGAGGGAGATGTGTAGCTGTAACGTGTTTCGTTCCAAATTATATAATTCGTGTGTTTTGTGTCGCGCCATTTTTTTAAAAATGGGGCGCGACACTTGGGAAAAGAAACTGCACTATATCTTAGTCCTGAAATTTCTTTGCCCTTGTTTGTGGTTAAACTTGTATATGAGGCCTGATTAGTGTTCTCTGTTCTGTTGCAGAGTGCACCGACCTCAACGTCTTCAGCTTCAAAGTCACGCCTCTAGGCAAAGTGTATCTGCAGACGCCAAAGCTTTAGCATGTAAAGAGTTGCAGAAAATAAGCACTGTTTGGCGGCCAAATGGGAACAAAGTTCCCAATGTGAAGGGAAGGTGGAGAAATTACGAGGAATGGGGATATGGGTTCCTAGATGGTTGTCACTAGTAGCACAATCGGATCTATAAGTTTCTACATTTGTTGTTTTTAGTGTGTACACTTTTTTTTAGTGTTTACACTGCGCGATACAACTTGATCCAGAGCAATTGGCCTCTTGTGTAGTGGTTCTTAGGGTGAATCATTTTTATTGGGTTTTAATTTATTGATGAGTGCACTTTTTCTTCATGTCATTGGATCTATAAGTTGCATTCCAGGTGAAAATTTTGACAAGGTAAGGCTAAATCCCAACTTTTGGGTGGTGGCCTTATTAACCCCCGGATCAAAAGCAGAGCCTCTATCTTCAATACAGGTTAGAGTATACTGTAGTCTGTAGAGTCCTAGATTCGGATCAGACCCGAACCTGTTGATTTTTAAGTCGTGAACTATAAAGTTCGTTAACCTTTTCAGCGATGTTGCATCTCTCTGAAAAAATTATCTATTTATGTCACAAACAAATATTGCTGTCTACTGTCTATTTATTTTTCATGCTCTCTACATTCTCGGGTGTAATTCCCAAAAAAAAAAAAATCATCATTCTTCTGAAATAAGTTTGGTTTCCTTTTCACTTGAAACCAACAACGGAAAGCATGGAACAGGAAAACCGTGACGACTACCATAGTTAGATGTGGTGATTGGTGACTAATGTTACAACCTTTAGCAACTGCTTACAGAAAACAATAAAAGTTCACAAGTGGTGATTTTAATTTGCTTTGATCACAGAATTTTTTTTTTTTTGGAGGTCTAAAGAGAGACTCGAACGTGCCAAGAGAAAAGGATTAAAAAAAAAAAAATTGAGATCTCATGATTACCTAGAGAGTAAGTAGCTTTTATTTATTAACAAATACGAAATAAGCAAAATTATGGTTTTAATGGAATGATGCTGACCGTCCATGCAAGACGTCACTAATAGAAAATGCTTCACTCTTTTTACTTTTTTTTTTTTTTTAATTCTCCAAGTAAGCAAATACTTCACTCTTCAATTACTCATTCAAAACTTGAAACTAAGGTGAAAATTTTCATTGAGTTAATAAAAAATGTACGACTCTGGTCAGTTTTACTAATGGTCTCCCTAAAACGATTTTGCTGCGGCATCAGCGGAAAGCCGAATAAATTGACGGTATAAAATTACAGATATGGCAGCATAACTATGGGCAAATTTCCTGTTCTAATTCTTTTTACAGTGCTTTTTCAGGTTTTGGTTTTACATCCCCATTTTCAACGGAGGATGGAATTTTCGGAAGTAGGTCACTAGTAGCAGTACCTGCAGAAGTAACAATTTGGGGTGTCCTTGGTGGGGGAGGAATGGTAGACTTGGGGATGCCATTGCTCAACGGTTCGTGCTGATTCCATGTTTCATTTCTGACACTGGCACTCCCGTTGCTGACTAGGTCTCTATGATTACTTGATTCACTTCTTGCGAATGACGAGCACTTTGTCTCTGAAAACAAAAAAAAAAAAAAAACAGATATTGAGCCAGACAGATATTTCACCTCCGTGGGAAAAATATTGTGTATTTCACTGCTGTTAGCACATATGAGAGCACAAGACACCATTAAAATCCATTCCAGATAGCAAAGGAAACAAGTTTCCTAACAATTATGGATAAATATAGAAGCTCACACATATCTGCTGATTTTACATCAGCCATGGCAACCTTAAATCCTACAAATAAATTTGGTACCGTTTTATCATAGCCTCCAAATTAATCTACACAATGAAATAAGACTACCAAGACAACCTACTTGACTAGAAACAAGTCAAATGTACCAGAGCTTAATTAGGCATCCACAATTTCAACAATATATGCTACTACAGTATTATAGCATGGGTGTGCACGCACACACAGTATCTTATTTTAAATGAGTGCTGTGTGCAATTAAGTAATAAGTTAAATGCAGCTTGCCGGATAACTGAGTCGAGTTGACCCAGGTCAATTCAATCTCAAGTGGCCTATTTTTCCCAATCAAAGCTCGAGTCGAGTTCAAGCACAAAAATTCAAATTTTCAACTAAACCCCATTCCTATATATCATTACAACCAATTCATAAGTTCTCCCACTTAGTAGAAGAGCCCTTTGTGGATTGAGAAATTTAATTTTAACCAAGTACAATATAGAGATGGTAAAGATGGAACTATGCAAAATTTCCCTAGTTAGCTCAAGGGCCAACCTTGAGATTGTTGAGATTTGGCTGGAACCCATTCAAGTCTTACTATGAACATTAGATTTATGTCTTGTTAACAAAATTCTAGGTAGTTAAACGGAACAGAAAGCACTTCAGGAGGAGACAAATCATGCATCCCAACTGGGTACAGATCAGGTGAATGTTTGTCTACTGTAAACTATCAATAATTTGCCTTCTCACTGGTCGCAGCCAAAAAAGTATGGGATTGCAGGACATAATATTATTGTTTCAGGAGTACTCAGCTGGGCACCTAGGGTCCAGTGATAGATTGCCATGTCTACACTGTTTTATTGGTCTAAGGCAATTTGGATTCATTAAGTATGCTTGTATTTTAGAAAATAAAATCTTTCTTAAAGCTAAGAGAGAGAATAGAAATATTAACTTGCCTTTAATTTCTCCTAAAGTGACAAGCTTGTTAAGACAATCACGAAACTTTGTCAAAACAATTCTCTCTTGTTCTGCATAGGCTTCAGTTAGTCCTTGCCCATGAGGCAACTGACAGGACATGTTACTCTGGCCCGTCAAATCACTCGGCGAAGCAGCTGTAGTAAACATGGCATCTTGTTCGTCACACATCAGTGCCAATGTTCCCGGAGACATCGGTCTACTTTTTGAAACATCAGCACCATCGGAAACAGATTCATCAGGGCCAATTTTCTCAGAGGAGTTTCCATCAAAAGAATCAGCTAATCTAGCTTTCTCGGCAACACTCAAATCCTTTTGGTTTTGTGATTGGTCTTGAGTCGAAGCAAGGTGACTTTCTCTATGTTCTTGTGACGACCTTTCTGTTGCATTTCTTTCATCTGGATTAATTAAGATGACACGGAAGATTAGTTTTGCCAAAGGGAAAAACAATCAATTATTTATAAACTCACCAAATGGTACAGCCCGCTGCATATAAATCAGCAAGAAATTGGATGCTATATGTTTCTAGAGCCAAGACAAACACGTAGAAATGTACTGGAAATTTAGGAACTGATGTGCCAGAACAAATCATTGATTTGTTAATATGTTGCCTTGCCTTCATAGGAATCTTAAACTAACTATCATCATTTCAATTTGCCACTGATAGACTATAATTTGTCAGCACAACTCTCTCTCTTGCCCCCTTAAGCAGGGAAGGGGAGAGATTATAATTTGTTGGCACAACTTTGGCAAGCTAAGAATCTCTCTTCAGAAGCTTCAAATGATTAGCAACAAGTAACTGCAGTAATTAAGTGTTATTAACCATGAAAGAGTTGAATTCTCTAGTTCCCAGCCAGCAGGATTACTTACCCCATTAAGGTGGAACAGCAGAAAGGTCACCCAGAAAATGTTGTGACAAATTTACAACTTCTGACAAGTTACAACATTCAGACATCATGGTCCTTGCCAATGAACTGTATTTGCTTCATGCCCAAAATACAGGCCACAGAAGAATACATGCTTAGTAGGGTTACAAGTTCATGACCCTAATAATAGAAACTAAACCCACTTTAACAAGCAAATCTGAGTAATTTAGTTCCACTTAACTCTAGCTTTGGTGACATTCAGCTCAAAAGCAAAAGCTGTTAAAGTATAACCACCAGATGAAGCCATCATTGCAACTCGCCTTCAAGACACCATCTTTGCTAAACTTTTATAATAAGGAAAACATGAAACTGGATAGCACCATTAGTCCACCAACTAAACAAAACCAAAAGAAAAAAAAAAAGAACTCAACCCACTAAGAAAAGAAATTATTGGCACCACATTTGAACCAGACATTTAATTTGGAATATAACGGCAAAGCTTATAAAACAAGAAGCACCTAGAGAAGTTGTCCATGAATTATCAAGACCCAGTCTGACCTAAATAACCTTCTTTATATCATCTTAACTTGGACAGCTCCAATGCAATTCCTCCTCTTAAAGTTATACTACCTAGGATTCTAGGTTACTATTGCAGATATAAGATTTCTAATTTGTCTGAGAACTGATACTCTATAGGCTTCTAGTCATTGGACATGGATACAGAGAAGGCCCTTCTCCAATAATATGATAAGCTATTTGGCCAAAATTGAAGGTTTTCCACCATATATAGGCAGAAAGTTCTAAAAGAAAATGACTTGATAACTTTTTTTAATTAGTAATTTGATCTAAATAGGAAAAGTTCTATATTTATCAGAAATATAATATCAATTTTAACAATATACTTCCAAAAGAGAAAATTAAATTAACCAAAAGTGATCACAAAAATGCTGCAAGAGAATGATGAAAACTGCATATTGTTGGAAATCTGTCTAATGAAATAGCAGACATGAACCTTTTCATAAAATTGGGTTAGACAAGGCCAAGATCAATGATGATAAAAATTTTACTGCAGTTAGCCCAAATAAATCTTAGCAACTTGAACTCTACATTTACCTGCAAGCATCTTCGCTGCTTCTGCTGAGTACACAACCAAAACTGAGCAAAGTTCCTTCAAATCTTGTGGTTGTATAATGTCAGCTAAGAGAGACCTTCAAAGGGAACACCAGTTAGACTTCCAACCAACCATACATATAGATTAAATTTCTTTTGGGCATTAGCTGTACCTGTATGTAAATTTTGAAGGGCCCATTCCAGCAGGATTACCTAAACGAGCACCAGGAATTGAAGATAGCGTCGAAGAGGGTACAGTAGTCTTCATGTGATTTGCCTGCAAGTACATGAGAAGAAGTCTTCCTCAGCATCAAGAAAGGAAGCCAATGCTAATTTGCAACTATGGATATTGAGTTATTCAACCCAATTGATAAATTTCTATTCATAAGTTAGTTGACTGGAACCAATATCAAGAAGGATTAATGAGTGACATTGCATCAACTAGTTAAACATATGCTGCAGAACACAATGAAATTCTTGCCTGCTGGAACTGTCCCAGCCTGTTAAGAGGATCTTTAACAGTTGACGCAAAGAAAAGCTCCTGGCCTTTTCTTTTTTTGTTCACTGGAGGAGATCCATAACCAGAGGACCCAATTGCACCAGTGATAGCTGCATTTGCAGCCTGCTG